AGATAAGCCTGTCTATCTCTTACAAAAACAACAGTTTATAGTTTAAACTGTGAAATTGTGTGTGTGTGTGTGTGTGTGTGTGTGTTGTAATTATGGTGCCTGCTAACAATTTCATACTGCCACATTGCACATATGGCTTCCAAGCTAGCTTTATCTGAATCTTTGTGAATCTATTCTCCGTGCTATTAAACTGAGCACATTCCACATCGTTCAAAAGTAATTACACTTTTGTCTAGAGTGTAGGAGACTGCTCTCCCCAAACAATGAAATTCTCATTATTAGAGCTGGCACAATAACGGCACTGGTGTTCACAACACTGTGCATTGTACCATCACAATAACTTATCCTAAGCTTGATGCACAAAGGTACACTGGAAATTAAAATTTCTCTAAAATCACTGTGGTTTTTTTTTTTTAATAGGCATTCTTTAGCTCAGTATAATTAGAGTCCTATTTGACTTTTTAAAAAGCTATATGCATTCAGATTTCCATTCTCTTTGCAACTTCTGAATAGTAGCTAAGTTCTCTAGCCACATGTTGTTCTGATCCAATACTATTCACGTGCTGATGACCCCAGACCGACTGGTGAAGTGCAGGCCAGGATGTATGTGGTAAGAGCATTCAAACGCAGCATTAAACAACCTTTTATTTTGGACAAGTGGAGGAAAAGCATGAAGCAATGTGTCGGTAAGCTCTTTGACCAGTAGTACTGTTATTCTTAATATGACCAAAATTTCTGTATATTATTCCCAAGTTACAGAGGAATAACTTCATTCACCACAGAAATGCAACATTTTTTAGCGTGAAGCAATGAAGCTATTTAACAGTGCACTGTAATATTACCTATCAATTTAAAGCATTGCTGATAATGAATTCTAAATCTCACTGAAAGTGCAGGACAAATGTGGGCTAGCAGTGCAGTCACGCAGTTTGGAACAACTGGACAGTGGCAAAATTACACCTTACCAGTCTGATCTTTTGGTCAGAACTTAATTTTTTTTTAATCTCATCCAGCATTTGATTGATATTCTACAGTTAGGAAGAATGGTCAAATTTGACCACAGTATACCATGCCCGTGGTATACTTCAATCAGTGCTTTTAGCCTTGACATCTCTTATTTTCAGAAATTAGCACACAGACACTGCCGGTGAGAACAGTAGTCTTGAGAGGTGGCAAAAGCAACAAGGTAAGGCAGACAAATAGAAATAAATAAAACAAACCCTCGTAACGTAGATGAGCTAACAACTATCTGTGCTATCCAAATACTGTAGCCTTAACAGGTTTCTTCAAAAGAGGTATTGACTGATACTGTAATCCTCAAGTGTTTCCCCGCTAAGCTTATGGCCTGCTACAAACATTCTAAGGGGACCCTCAGATATATTCTAGGTCAAATGATTTGTCTTGTATTTTCTTCTGAGCTTTTGGTTTAAGTCTGATAAATTATTGTTTCTTTTCTTATCAGTGGAAGAGCTTTCCTATTTACAATAAGTATCTAGTTTCTTCTATCAAGAGGAAGACAGTTTGGGATAGAGTTACCCCTGACTTTCACAGAACCACAGAACGGTTGAGGTTGGAAGGGACCTCTGGAGGTCATCTGGTCCAATCCCCTGCTCAAGCAGGGCCACCTAGAGCCAGTTGTCCAGGATCGTGTCCAGACGGCTTTTGAATATCTCCAAGGATGGAGACTCACAACCTCCCTGGGCAACCTGTTGCTGTGCTCAGTCACCCTCACAGTAAAAAGCGTTTCCTGATGTTCAGATGGAGTCTCCTGCGCTTCAGTTTGTGCCCATTGCACGAAACTTTCTCCAGCTGCAGTTCCAGCATCCTCAGAAATACCCTGGTCATTTCGATGGGAAGATGGGTTTTGCAGCTTTTTGCCAATTTTGGTTAGGTTTGAAGATTTCTTTCTAGGGATTTTGCCCTCCTTGTATAAAAATTTACCCAGCATTCCAAGCTGTGTCTCTAAGTTGGCAGTTGTTACAACTTGGTAAAGTGCAACAGGGTAAATTTTCAAAAGTCTAAATTGGGTAAACTGTTGAGTTATCACTCTGTTGCAATCAGCCCTTTACCTTAAGGATCCTAGGATGTCCCAGCTGGCAGGACTTGTGAAAGGAAGCACAGCTGGAAGTAACCTATGAAACAGAGGATCAATTAGCAGCTAGAAAAGTGAGGCCAAGAAATTGATTCTCAAGGTTGAAATTGTTTTCCTAACTGTCCCTTCATGACCCAGTGCTGAGAGGCAGAGTATGAGGAGACAGGGACAGCTGTGGTGAGAAGAAGAATTCAGCTACGCAGCCTACCGATGAGACAAAGCTGTGTAATTCCATACCTTTTCCAGATCCCTTGGCTGTGGTTCTCTTCTGCTGAGGTTGTTCCCTAAGCCAAATGGGTGTTGTACATGTAAGCTAACACAGAAAGATCTCTCTGGATCTATACCATGTCCATGTAAGAATCCCTTCAGAGAAGAGCCTTAGCCAACAATCATGCACAAAACAGTATGGTTTAGAGGGGTGCAGCAGAGTGACACACTACATGATTTCAGACCGGCTGTATGTCTGATCCTGTCTTATTGGACATTGGAGAGATCTGTAAAGGTGTACCCTGCTAAGGACAGCATGTGGCTGCAAAATGAGAACTCCATAGTCACTTGCAGACTCAGTTAGTAGGTGTAGTAGTACAGCTGACAAGCTATTAAGAAGTGTGAAGCACACTGCTGGAGCTTTATCAATAAAACTGTATTGGACCGCACTGTGTGGTGGTGTATGCACATGTGCGCACACCTGGATTTGCTTCCCACAGACTATAAAATAGCACAGAATGTCAATTCAAACAGTACAAAAAATTACCTCTGTAATGCTACCAAAGTGAGTACTCTTTGAGAATGACTTTCATAACTGCTAATCACCCAAACTGAAGTAATCTAAAAGTTATCCCAAGCACTAGGTTCAGTTGCTTCCTTCTTATAATTACATACCACAACAGCAGAGGGAGTGATTATGTGTATTTTACTCAGTTACACTGATCACTTCCTTCTTTCTGGAGACACATAGGCCACATCCTTTCTGACCTACCAGGATGATGATTTTTACAAGACACTCCTCATATTACGAAAATGACACATTCATACAAACTGGCAATTTTCTTAAATATGTATGAAGACAAAACCAGTCCCTACAACCTCCCAAACATGCTTCAGATAAGCCTACAGCATCTCACTACTACAGCAAAACTGTCTGAAACATGCAATAATTCAGTATCTTGTATTATAAAGAGACAGAACACACTGTTTTGACATCACATTAAATATAGCCTTCATAGCAGGAAGTCACACTAGATGATCAGCTAAACTTCTTGGTCTTAAAAACTATAAATGAATAAAGAAGTTAGTTAAAATCACTTAAAGAGCAGTTAAGTGTTTCAATAAGGTGTAGTTAAAATACTCCTGCTGGGCTCCTTAGAAGACAATGAGTTTTTATTTCACTAGGGTCTGATTCTACACTACTGGTGTCATCATAAGTTTATCTATTGACTTAAATGTTGTCAGGAATAACCCCTTATCTTCAATACACTCTCTTAAAATAAGCCAAAACACAGCAAAGCTCGTACACCAGTTACATAACCTAACAGCCCATTGGCTGGAACTGTATATTAATGAATTACATCTCCATAAAACATATGATAGAGGATGAGAAGTAAACAAGCTAGAAAAAGATAATGACATATCTGCCCATGAGTAATTTTTCCAAAGACGTTCTTTCTTCATTTAAAGTTGCAATAGCAAAGTAAAATTAAATATTCCAAACCACTGTTTGAACTTAAGCATTAGACCAAAAAGGAAGAAAAACGGATTTGGATCAGTGAGTTATTTTGTCTAGGAGAGCAGCTTCAGTGAATATCTGGTGACTTGGTCCTATGAGAAATAATAATCTCTAAGGCTTTTTACTTAGGGCTTGTTACATATGCGTAATGAGCTGTAAGGGCTTAAATACCACTATGGAGCTGTTACAGGCTTTTATGAGAATACACTATCACCTATTTTGCAATGGCTTTTTAAAAGCCTTCAAATATGCAGGTCCATTCATTATCTTCACTTAAAGTGAAATTGTCACTGCCCTTGTCAAAGTGGGGGTCTAACAGAAAAGTTACAGTCAATTTGTAAACAGGCAAGAGCTGTGTAAGTGTGTTCACAACAGACAGCTTTGCTGAGGTGCCTAAGTCCTGGGGTTTCAATGCCTTTCCCTGCACCTTTCAACCTTTATAAAAATGTATCACGGTACTCTGCACGAAGGGCCCAAACGTGTCACGTTACAATAGTGACACTACAATACTAGTGAGGAACACAGCATTGCTTTTTGTTTGTTTGCTTTTAGATAAAGCCAGTTCTGGACTTTCAGTGGGCTGCTAAACATAATGAGTTCAGTGCACTGTGTCATTTGTAAAGTGCACAAAAAGGTGGGAATTCACAAATGAAAAAGTGGTAGGCTGACTTAATTCCGTAAGCACAGCAAACTTTCTTGTAGGTATCTGTGGCATGTGAAATACACATCACACGTGAATTTTTAAAACCAGCAAAATCCAAAGTTGCTTTTTTTACCCTTTATACAGACTTTCATGCCTTACTATTGCATAAACTTGGCATTGGGGTGATATTTCAGACACCATGCCAAACATGACTCTCACTTACAGTGTTCCAAAACCATTTACTGTTTGCTGAACACATACACTTCAAATTCACATCACTGTAGCTAAAAATTTTTAGCACCCTAAATGCCAGCAGGCAAAGGTGAGGAAAAGTGGAGTTTGCACTGCAAGTGATTTAGCATTTGTAGTGGAGGGTGAAGGCAGTCCAGCTAGGTCAAAGCTTTCACATTATTGTAGCATGTTCTGTACGTGTAACTGTGCATTGTATACTCCATAAAGTACAGATCTGGATGCCAAACTACTGTAGAGGCAGAATTCAAAGAATGGATGTAAGCACAATAGACCATTAGCAAACCTACCATTGTGTTGTGCTGAGAAGTGGGAGTCCTATGGCCACAGTTCTCTTGCGTCAGCAGAGAAACTGGCTGAAATTCCTCAGAGTGAGGCTTGTTGGGAAAACTCACATGCAAGGGAAGGTGAAAGGCTGGGAGCCCGTCACTCTCCTCTTCTCCCACTTTCTGTCTGCTTGTCACCATGGCTACCTCTCCATCTGCTTCCCCATACGGAGAGGCTGGTCGCTTGGAAGACATCCTGGAAGGAACAAAAGAGGAGGAAATAATGAAACCTCCAAATAAATCCTTAATGCCGTCATTGTGTGGTTAGGGGCCATTGTAACAGAAATGCCTTTTTTGTGCTGGCAGAGAGCAGGAAACCATCCAAATACCACTGCAAAGCATACACAGTTGGGAACAATGGCCAAGCAGGTAGCAACAGAACAGTGGCTTGTTTGTTGTGAGAATAATACACTAATATAGCACTCTCTTGTATTCGGGCTTCTTAAACATGAAAATTCACCTAAGAAGACTGTATAATGAAATGCAATTCCTTTAAAAAAATACCCATCTGGTTTTGCATTTGCAAGAGACTGTAAGAAGATAGAATGTCTCCCGATACAAGCTATTGTCAGCTTAGCTTTTAAGGAATAATCATCCGCATGTATTTAACTGTAACTGATAAAAAAATAAAGTAAAATAAAATAAAATAAACTTGCTAGCAAGCCAAAATGTCTGTGTTTATTAAACTTCACCCACGTGAACAACAAAGTGTTATAGTCATGTTGCAAGAATCTTTTCAGGTTCGCAGATCTGGGATAGTTAAGCAGTTAAACATTTAGACATTAATAATCTAAACTTTTTGACAACACAAATTCAGGGTTGTACTAAGCGAACGAAGATTTGCTATCAAGATACCCTATACTTCCTTCCTATAGCCAGATCAGGAAAAAATACATATAAATGTAATTTACATCTATATCTATATAAGAAAGGGTACACAAGCAAGATACATAGAGTACACATTGTAAAAATCACACACAAATCTTGACTTAAAATTCAGACCCACATTCCAAAATTTTTGAGACTGTCTGGTATCACTGTTCTGGTAGCACGCGTGTATCTTCAACTTTTAGAAAGACTGAAAGAATCCTTATGCCATTGGAAAATCCAGTTTTCATCCAAACCAGGCACTACTGAAAATCATACAGGACAGTCTGAACCCAGAACATTTTTTCAGCTTGGTCTTCAAAATAGAGGGGTCCAGTGAAGTATTAAAATGCAGATGACTTCTGGGATTAATTACAGCAACATTGTTCATGAAAATCACGGTATGTGCATAGATGGCATAATGGGCCACTGTGCTAAGCAGGGGCACCTGTAATAAGGAGTGGAATGAGAAATAAGAAATCCTATAGGCATAATCAAAAGAAGAAAAGAAAGAAAAAGAGAGAAATATTTAACAGAAAATAAGACGTTATGAACAAGGAAACTGAAGACTACTGTGTGTAAAAGTTGAAAAGATGGGTTGAAGGAATACTGCTCCTCCTCAAAAATCTAGTATTTATGATTCTAATTACCCCATTTTGATTTTCCACTTCACAGTTAAAGGACTGCATTTCAAAAGCCCAGCAGCCTCTTGAACCATGTGTGGGGCTGCTGTGAGGTGGAGCATGTCCATACGATTTGGCATATTGAGCACGAAATGGTTCTTAGCAGCAGTCAACTGGGTCTGAAAACAAACAGTGACTTTAAACAGCCCTTTGTTAGGACTTACTTTGTTTCTAATGATCTCATTTCGAGTTTGCCTCCTGAGCCAAGTTAGATTATATTTAAAAAAAAAAACAAACCACCACCAAAAAACCACAACAAAAAAACCTCTCAGACAAAAAAATCCCTACCAGAACCTATACTCAGCTGCACATCGTCTGTTCTGAACACCACCTATTGCCTGTACACAGAGATGCAATCTGTATTTTCTATTAATGTTTGACTTAGTCCAACAGACTAACACTTCATACATCCTACCTGAATTCTGTCTTCTAGGCTTTCCCACCTACGTGTCTGCAGCGAAGCATATGTATAAAGACAGAGATCACCAGATAGACTCTTACTGGCAGTTTTCTACTAGCCCACAGAATTCAGCATTTTACAGCTATGTTTGACATGACAGATCCCAAGTTTTTCTTCTGCAGAAAGCATGCAACCCCTTCCTGAAGTTAATGTGAATTATTCATATTCTGCACTGCACCGCACCAAGATACACATTTGCTATTGATTCTGAGTATAACATTTTGGTTACTCATTCCAACGCTGCCTTAATAGAAGCTTGGGTTTTTACAAAATCTCTCTTTCTGAAAATCAGCACTAAGCGGTTGTCTCAATTTTGGCAAACAAAAAGGGAGGGACACAAAATCATTAGTCAATTATTCCACAGTAATGTTCTATATGTTAGGACATTTATATTTGATGAGATGACTGAAAATATTGTAAACCATCTACAAAACTCCACTACAATTCACTTTGACAATACAATATAGAGAGAGGATGCCTTGCTTTGTATTGATGATTTGTGTAATGTACTATATACCCAAGTTGTGTTAAAAACTCCTACTGCTGTTAACCCAGAATAACCCAGATTCTGCCACATTGCTTCACAAGGAGAGTTTGACTATCATGTTGAAGTAAAGCTCTTCTGCTAACTTTGTAAGTGAATATACGGTTTCCTCTACTGTGTTCAGTTAGCGTGCTGCAGATCATCATCACCTTCTGCTTGTCACTGTTCCCAGCAGGGATGATACCATTTTCTGCAGGGAATTTATAAAAACAGGCAAGGAAGGCAATAGAGGTGACCACCTCCATGCACTAGGAATAACAGAGATTATTATGGTTTTGATCTAAAATGAAAACCTATGGGTTGGACTGTAGGCCAACCTACAGTGCTACTCGAGAGGGAAGAAGGAACTTTTTCCTTCCTCACACAGCTCTTATAACATCCAGTTTCAATTACAAGCCATGTGCTCATCATAATGCTAGAAAGCTAAGAAATTGCTAAAATAGCTAAGGTGGTGAAGTTACAGATCTAAACTGCATTAGTCTTCCAAGTGACTAGGACACACAAAGAAACAGATGCACAACCCTAGGTAAAGGTCACACAGCTCAGGCAATGACTGCCATTTGTTTTCAGGCAGCTCTGTCCATAGCCAACACGAGTTAGGCATAATCTGGCCTTTCAGAAATCTCATCATCCCCTTTAGCATCAAACACAAACATCACAGTTTCACAGAAATTACTTACTCCTTATGAACATCTGGGAAATTTCCACAAGACAATGCAAGATTTAAATAAATAAATAAATCCATATCTACTTTTGGAAATGTCTTCCAAAAGGACAGTAACTATCAAAGCCTATAGCAGCAAAGGATCAAATCACTGATAGGTTCACGAGCAGAAAACAACATGATACAAGATAAATTCATTCACAGATGGTCTTTCATTATTTCTACAGCTTTATTGGTCCCTTTTCTGAATTTGTAATGCTCCCACACCCCATATCCTTGAATTCTCTTCTTTTCATACATCTTCATTTTCCTACTGAGCTAATACTAGGTCTTAAGAGATTCCATATCCGAGATGCAAGTAGTGTTCTCATTATAAACAATAAGTAAAGGGAAACAGCTAAATTCTGAGTAACAACGTTATCTGAAACTGAGCTCTTTTAAACAGGTCTAGGACTAATGAAGGACTGGAATTATCCCATCTTAACAAAGGACTGCAAACATCCTGGATCTACCCTCAATGATAACATGTCAGTTTACAACTTACATGACTTCAAGATCTTTTCCTCAAACTAGTTTAAACTCAGAAGGGTTTTCATTTACACCCCTCTGAAAGAAGGTTTACAATGAGGGAGGAAACATCAGTTTCCTCAAACATCAACTTATGGATAGGATTAAAAAACCCCCAACAAAACCTCAAGATATAACTCAGAAAAGTAGCAATACCATGGACCAGATTCTGAATCTGAAAGGGTGTCTCTGCAGGTGAAATCCGTTGCAACTTAAGACTTGCAAGAACAGTTGCATTTTGAACTGTCATTAATCATTTCTACTGAATATAAATAGCTAAATAGTAATTTTTTAGACAACCTAAATCTGCAAAGTTCAGACACAGTAGGACACAGGCAGTACTCAGCCCACTGTAGAGACACATTGGAGTTATGAAACGTATCCCCATACTTGATTTTTATCAGTGGTTACGATGGAACTGAAGATTTAGTTTTGGTGATGAATTCAAATTCAACCCGATTTCTTGTAAAGGGACTCTTTTTTCTGTTTTTGGAAAGGCTTCTTAATATGCAGAAATTGCAGTAAAAACATGCCTTTTGTTAAATTTTCATTAAGTAAATGCTTTTCCTGGTAGCAAGAATGTTTTTTTCGGGGAAGTAAAATCTCACTCTTCTAACTCACTCTTATCCCACAAATATTTGATGCGATTCATCTTACAATAGCTTCTCCACGTATTTCTTTACTCCCCTTCAATTTACAACAGACTCTTTGTAGGCTTAAACTGATACCCTGTGTCTATTGATCTCAGTGTTTTTGGACTGACTTCAGCATGGCTGGATTTTCCCACTGGAGAGAGTAAGAGCTACACTGCGTCCACATGAATTGTTTTCTCATGCCATCTACAAGTATTGGTTCCACCCAAATAATTTCAGGCTACAAAATAACATTATTTTGTTTGGATTTTTTCCCCCTTGAGTTCGGTGCCTCACAAAAGTGATCCTTCCACAGCTCTATTTTTTTTTATTATTATTATTTTTAACAGAACTTAAGTGTTCCCCACTACATTTCATTTGTTCATGGGTTTTGATTCATTTCATACGTGATTGTATACCCAAAATAAATCTGAAATGGTATCCAGTATTCAAGGAGATAGTGCCCTCTAGCACACAACCAGCATCCATCCCAATTTGATTGCTCGTGCCATAAAATTTCATAAATTTTATGTCATAAAACTCTAATCTTGTTACATTAAACAAAATAGCTCAGAAACATTTCAGATACCCACAAAAGCTTTTGGAGAAATGGCTTATCCGTGTCTTCAAAAGTGACAAACACAGATGCGTCAGGAGAAAAAGATATGAGGCCATAAATCTTAACTAGTTGGGAGTTAATTAAGGGATTCATCAATCATTACATAGCTCACCCCATACATACACAAGCAAAATCCCATCAGCTGCCACAACCTACAGC